TCACATGGGCTGTGCTGCAGGTGTCCAGGGATGAGCATTATACACATCGTCACTAACTAAAAAAAATCAGAACCTAAAATACAGCAAGCATTGTGATTCCAGCCCAGCCATACCATGGGAGGTCTCAATGAACAGGGCTCTGTTAATGACACAAATTAGCTCATTAGCATACAGATGAGTCGGTAACTGGCTGCAGCAGCAAGGGAAGGAATCCAAAAGGCCTCATTAAAGCTCTCCCGTGCAGCCACTGTCCTGAGACTCAACCAGCAGCACAGCAGCTGCCACCACAGTCCCTGCTGTGGATGAACTTCCAGCCGTTTCCTTCTCTAAAAGACCACTGAGGCACAACTGTCCACACAAGGCACCACTGCTGCTGGGAAACTCATCTTTTGACCCTCCTCATGCTATTCTGCAGGACTCATCCATCCAAGCTGGGATGAAGTCAGCTCAGCTGATTGCCAGGACCACAAAGGCACTGCAACATCAACCCCTCATTCTTGAACCTCATCCCACCACCCGCATCCAGGCTTGGGACCAATCACATAACCATAAAATGCCTGTTCCCTGCAGCACCTCATTTATCTTCGCACTACACCAAACCAAGACAGTCAGATAAACTCCCAGTTATCCACACACTGGAGGCTAAAAGCACACCCGCCACTACAAGCATCTCATGTGTAAATAAAAGAGATTAATTCTGTTCTATTACATCCTGCATTTGGGTGGGCAAATAAATTAGTAATGTCACCTCTTTCATTATCAAGAGCAACACAGTTTTGTTTGCTCAGGCTGCCATACAAGGAAGAACGAAAGAGAAGCCTCCTGGGAGCCAGGAGCTGCCATTTCTTGTTCACAGTGCAATGGGAAGAGATGATGCCACCAGTCCCTTGGGCACATGTGGTTCCCCCTGCAAAGCGGCTCCTCCTGCAGCTGCCAGGGGAGCAGTTTCTGCAGCACCTTACCTTTCCCTCCTCCCCAACCACCCCCCCATTGCCCTCCCTTACCTCTGTTTCCAAGTCTCGTAGAAAAATGTATCAGCCCTATCACCCTCCTTAAATCATGCGGCAGACTTAAAAAACAGAGGAAGAAGGGAGTAAGAAAAATGAACATCACATTTTGGGCTGTTTTGTTTGCCTTTTGGGTTTTCCTTTAGCACTTATCCTCTCATAAAATTTGCAGGTAGTCCCCCGATGCAGGTAGTCAGGACTCAGATAAAATCACAGGGCAACAGGAGACATGGACAAGGGCATTTGGGACATCTGAGGCCTGACCACCACAAAATGGGTCTGTGTGTCCTGTGCTCTCTCTGTGCTGGCTGGTGCCACCATCCCTGCAATGGGCAGGAGAGCAGGAGAGCGTGAGGATGCACAGGGGTCTGCAGACCTCCTCCAGGAGAGGTCAGAGATGAGAGCTGCCACGAAACCACCCTGGGAAACCCAAGGTATGCCAGACCTACAGGACAAGCGATGCCACAAAAGCAGCACTGCTGCACCCACACTCTGCACAGGCACATAAAGCAGAGGAGAGAAGTGGGAAAAGGTTGGATATTTTAAGCTGCCATTTGTGCTGACTCCCTTTGATTCTCCCCAGCGCTGTGAGAAGTTTCCCCTTCCCTTTCCAAAGCCTGCCTTTCAGCTGGCAAAGCCTATTGAACCCTGAGAGAAGGGCAAGTCCAGGATCAAGGCTTTTTTCCCAAGGATGCTGAGACATGCTGAATGGGAGGGGAGGGCCGGAGCGACAGCCTGAACAATGGCACCACCCGAGAGAGCTCTTGGAAGAGCAAAGCAGCCGGGCAGACCGGGGCTGCCTTGCCCCCCACCCCACTGCAACTATCCCAGCTCCTGCGGCCTCACTGCACCCTCACAGCCCTGCACGGGGCCTGGGTACCACAGGCTCCAGGCAGGGATGACACCACAGACAGGATGGTGTTAGCCCTGACATGGGACAGCAGAGGAAATCTTCATGGACAGAAGGTCAAAAGCTTGAGCAGCACATCCAAGTTTTTACTTATTTATTCAAGGACCAATTTTTTTTTTTTTTTTCAGGGAAAAAAAACTCGAACTTCAACTCTGCACCCATCTTGTGAAGTCATGATGAAATGATTGTCACATTTTAGTCAAACAAAAACCTGGCTGAGATTTGAACTTTAAATAAAGTGAGAGAATGTAGAAGTAACAGATTGCCTGCTCATTTGCAGGGGCGGCATCATGTGTGCTTTTGAGGGAGGGAAGAATTTTGCAAACCATCTGCCAAAGTCTGCTGGGCCAAAACTGGTCCTAGGACAAGAGCTCAGAAATCTTGTTTCAGCCTTTCCCTCTTTTTAAGTCTCAGCTTCAAGCTTAGGAACACATGAACCCAGTTTCCCAGTCTCTTCCTAATGACTGTTAGTTTAAAGCATGCTCCAAATTTTTAAAACTCCAGAAAAATGCCCCTGTAGGGCAGTCAGAGAAGGGACACTACAAATCTTAGACCTTGGGAGGGAAAAAAGTGTCATGCTTCAGCTCTCCAGGAGCAGCAGAACAAGGACAGCCAGGTCCCTGGCAAGGTGGGATGCCTGCAAGAGTGAGACCGAAAGGAAGTGGCATATCTAACCACCTTTGCTAAACTAGTATCAAGTGACAGTGGTAACACATTGCCTCCCACCACAGAAATATAAATGTAAAATTCAAAGCAAATTGACAGAATGGAACCGCTGGCTCTCCTCCTTGGGCTGCACACACCATCAGCAGGATCATAAATATACACAAGTCCTTATCTGAAGTGTATTCAGTGCAAGAACCATGCAGTCTCTTATTTCATGACTCACACAGTCCCAGAACAGCCTGAAGTTTGAAACATCAGACCACGAAAAGAAAAAAAGTAAATCAAATGGTAGTGTTGTTTTTAGGCAGTGGAGGTTGGTGGTTTTGTTTGTTTTTAAGAATCCACCAAAATTTGCTGCAAGGGGACATAAGCAAAACCCTCCCAAAGCCCTGAACTTTTATAAGCCCCCAAGTTGTCAATACTGTAACAGCTGAAGCAAAATTTCCCTGCCCCAGCTCATTAACAAACTTGCCAATTACCTGACTTCATTAGCCTCCTCCACGCGAGCGTGACTCGCCACAGGAGGAACACTTTGCCTCCTGCCATCCAGTACCCCCACTCCGTTCCTCTACTCCAGCTGCAGGCCAGCCCGTGCCGCCGCGGGGGCAGAGCTCCTGGGGCCCGGCGGGGAGGCAGCTGGCTCCCGACACCCCCAGAGCTGCACGCCCTGCAATGGTTCCGCCTTGGAGCCCACATGGATTTGAGAGGAGCACAGGGACAAAGCTAACGGAGCAGCGCTATCTGCCTGCTTTAACGCTTCCCCATTAATTTCAGATAAGAGGTGCTGGAGGACTGTGCCAGAGGACTGTAGGGAACCTGTGTGGGGCTGCGTGGAAACGATGCACCCAGCAGCCCGGGACCAGATCCACCCAATGGTTCCGCCTTGGAGCCCACATGGATTTGAGAGGAGCACAGGGACAAAGCTAACGGAGCAGCGCTATCTGCCTGCTTTAACGCTTCCCCATTAATTTCAGATAAGAGGTGCTGGAGGACTGTGCCAGAGGACTGTAGGGAACCTGTGTGGGGCTGCGTGGAAACGATGCACCCAGCAGCCCGGGACCAGATCCACCACCCAGCGACCACACTCCCAGGTTCTGTGCACATCGTCCCAGCCCCAGGGCAGCTGATGCAGGGCGAAGCCCCGGCCCAGCCCCAGCCGCGTGGCATCGCTCGGAGCGCCAGGGCCACCGCTGGGACCCGCTCCGCTGCCAGGCACCGGCAAGTAAATCCAGGGGGCAAAGACTGGGAAGCAGCACACCTGTGATCCTCTGTGCCAATCTCAGCACCACTTTTAAAAGTATTTTAAAGGTAATTTTCTATTTTTTCTTTTTTTTTAAAAAAAAAAAAAAGGCTGATCAACTTTCCCTTGGAAGAGCAGAGAGTGCATTAGACACTGTTGAGTACCTGCTGGTGCCATTTCTTATTCAGCCCATGAGCTGAATGTCTCTGCTCTAGAGGAGAGCTTGCTATATCTGACCTTTGCTTAAACTTTACATGGAGTTTCCATTTGTCTTCTCTGTGAACTCTTCTGCTTATAGATTCATTCTCCAGGAAGACACACTACTTTTTTTGCCCTCAAGGGGATGGCCTCATTTTTGAAGATTTCCTCCTGCAATCTTCTCTCCTCTCTAGAGTTCACGAATGTCATTTTATACCTATTCCCAAGTTTCCTTTGGGAGAAGCTGCACATTAAACTGAAAAGTGATTAACTATTATAATTTGTTCGGACACAGCCTCTGTAAGGGTGATTTGCTATGGTATGCACAGAACAGACAACCACAGACCTCAGGAAAGCATGCTGCCTTTGACTGGTGCCCACAAACCCCAAGCATCATTCGGTGATGGGACTCAGTTTGACCAGTAAGGCTGAAAGCCTCGGCCACACATCTGCCCACACTGGAGCTTCTTCCTCAATTCTTTCTAACAACCTACTCCGCTACATGTCACGCATATTATTAGCATTATAAA